TTTTTTTTTTTTTTACATTTCTTGGCCGGGGCTAGGTTTGAACCCACCACCTCCAGTATATGGGGCTAGTACCCTGCTCCTTGAGCCACCGGCACCGCCCCAAGAAGGACGTTTTATACTGAAAACAAGGTCAACACATCTGGAAGATACAAGAATTACAAACAAACATGCATCTAAAAACAGAGCCCCAAAATACACGTGCAAAAACTGACAGAAATAAGGGCAGGAATAAACAGTTGTACAGTCATAATTGAAGATGTTGATATTCCACTTTCAATACTGAACAGACAGATCAATAAGGAACTAGAAAAGGCCAGGCACAGCAGCTCACACCTACAATCCTGGCTTTGGAAGGCTGAAGTAGGAAGATCATTTGAGGACAACAGTTTGAGGTTTCAGTGAGGTATGATGACACCACGGTGCTCCAATCTGTCTCTAAAAAATCGTAATAACAATGATAAAGAACTAGAAGATCTGAACAACATTATAAACCAATGAGACCTAACAGACATCCATAGAACACTCAACCCAACAATGCCAGAACACACATTCCTCTCAAAATGTCAGATCATATTCTAGGCCACAAAACATGTCTCAAAAACTCTGAAAGGGATCCACAGTAGAATGAAATTAGAAATTAATAACAAAAAGAAATCTGGGACACCTCACAAAAATGTGGAAAATACATAACACACTCCTAAATAACCAATGGTTAAAGAAAAAAACCATATGGGAGATGAGAAAATACCTTGAGATGACTGAAAATAAAGATACAACATGCCAAACTGTGTAGCAAAAGCCATATTCAGAGAAAGGCTTCTCACCATAAATGCCTATGTTAATAAAGACAAAACTCTCAGCAAGTTCTAAGCTGGGACGTCTGGTGGTGTGTTGATATAACTAGTAGGAGTGATGCAGAAGGACTGGAGAAACTAAAGACGCAGAAAAGGCAGGATAACAGTGCAGCAGCTGATTCCTGGGCAGAGGCTGCAGCAGAGTGGGAGACTGGGTGTCACTGTGGCAGGAGACAGGTGGCCCACACATAGTGACTGAGCAAGGATGATGGGAAGAACAGGCAGTTTTCCAATCACTTTGTTTTGGAGGAGTGAAGAGGGACAGATTGAGAACTGAGAGTGAGGATGGAGGAGGGGATGGTGGGGGTTCAAAAAGAGAGAAAATGGGGCACTGCTCTGACAGCAGGGGATTAATGCCAGAGAAACGTCAAGACCACAAGGAAGCACAAGGACCCTCTGGAGTGAGAACCTGAGAGGAGGGGCCTCCAAGTGGACATCTCCCTGCAGCCACACTCCATGGTTCAGGCACAGAGAAGCACGTGCCCAACAATGCTAGGCTCTGGGGAGAATTTGAGAAGGGAGCAAGTGGAAAGAGTTGGAGCACTCTAGGCCATGGGCCCAAACTACCTATAGACAGGAGAGCTGGTAGTTATGAGTGAACAACACAGGAGGAAGCAGCAGTTAGAGAACAGAGCTCTCAGGTGCTGGGATTGGCAGTGACGAGTCACAAGTTCTAGGGAGTGAGCCTGGAAGTGTGGAAGATGACAGAAGAGCCTTACCCCTAGGGCAAGGGGGCTGGGAAAGGAGGCCCTCAACCCAAGGCCCAACAGCCAGGGCTCCCACACTCACCGGCTGCCCTTTGGCAGTCAAGGATCTTGAAGCCACTGTGCATACAGGCCGCCAGGAGCAGGTGCGGGTGGGCAGGATGCCACCTGAGCCTCCACACCCCGCCCTGCACAGGGGTGTCTGCAAACGGCTCCTTCATGTTCCGAGTGTCCCACAGTAGAACGTGCTCATCATAGCTGAAACCAACCAACCCCCATAGGCTGGCAGCAAAGCCCATGCTGGCTTATTCCCCAGGGAACAACTCCTAGGGACCCATCCCACTTGCTCCTTGGGACAAAGTCCCCTTTCCCAAACCCAGATATCTGCACTCTGGTCTGAGAGCTGGCCGGATCGAACACTATGATTGGCCTCCACCAAAAAAGGACATGAAAGATACAAGGGCCCCTTTGAGTCCACCCTAGCGGACTCACCTTCCAGTAGCCAAGATGTGCTCCCGATGGGGACTACTCTGGATGCTGCACACGCCCATGGAGTGTCTGCGGGTGAGAGGATGGCACCTGAGCAGGTGCCCCACAGGGACACTCTGTAGTCAAAGGTGAAGAGAGGAGAAACTCAGACCCTGGGCCAGTTACCTCTGACTGGTGAACAGAGACATGCCAGGTGCCCTGGTGTCCCAGCCCTTCAGAAGGCCATCATCCCCCCCTGCGAGAAAACACAGAAGCCTGTCAACAATGACAGTGATGACAGGAAATAGCTGTTTCTCAATCAGGCAATTTATGTCTGTCAGGCAGTTTTGTGGACCACTTTCTGCCTGAACAGGCCGAAAGTGGTCCACAAAACTTTCTATGTGAACAGAAGAGCCTAGAAACAATTTGCAGGAACGGTCACTCTGTGCCCTGACCACCTACAGACTTGAAGCAGGGGCCTGCAGGGAAGCAGGGACATGTCTCGGGTTCCACCTGTAGGAACAAAAGGGGAAAATGGTAACTATGGGCTTCAGTACCAGGCAGCTGCCGCTTATGAGGAACTAGTAGGTCACACGTGGTCAAGCTGCTACGTACACCACCACATGTCCAAAAAGGGGAATGGGCTGTGTAACCTCACAGTGAAAGACACCCTGCACTTGTAGAGAAACTAAAAGGATAGGAGGAGCAGAGAAGCTGCAGCACTGAGCCACCAAGACGGTGGTGTGTCCCAAAGGCTCAGGAGCAGGGCCCATGGGGAAGGTGATAGGGGCAAAAGGGCCTGAGCTGACTGCTCTGCCTATCCACTATCTCTGGGGTGATGTCCAGGGCCTGCCCCCTCCACGCCTCATCCTGCTCTGAAAGAGCAGTCTGCGCCTGCCCCAGCTCCCCCAGCTCCTTACCTCCTCTACCTTCCTTCTTTCCAAAGTACGTGTCAGCTCTGACCCACTCTGCAATCTCATTTATTGTAGGTCAATAAATGTGTTCACTGTCCTGCTCCCCACTCAAAGTACAAGTGATAGAAGAAGGAGCCTTCTGCCTATTTTGTCCACTGGATGGGTCCCAGTCACCTAGAACAGTGCCTGGCACATAGTAAGGGCTCAGTAAGTGCTAAATGCATGGATTAGCCTGACTTATTAAATTGCTGCCCTACCACACTCCTTCCTGTTCTGATCAGTTAAGCCCCATGGTGGGAAAACTAATCCAAGAATGAGAGACCTCAAGAAATAAAATCTTCATGGTTCTTACTGAAACTGTTCAAGGCTGTGACAGTGAATAGAACAGACTAGGACCCCACCCTCAGGAACAGATCAGCCCTGAACACATGATTATACTGAGGATGACCCTGAGGAGCTGCAAGAGGGTGGCAGGGATTGGGGAGTACAAGCTGCCAAGGGTGCATGTTCCATGTTAGCTTTTCCAAAGGTTTTCAGCTGAGCATGCTAGGAAAGTAGAATCAATCTGTGGAGGAAATGTCATGTGATAAAAGACAGAGCCTGGAGAGAACACTGACCATTTGAGGAAAGAAGATTGAAAGCAGAGGCTCAACACCCATAGCTTAGTGGTTAAGCCGGAGGCCACATGTACTGAACTGGTGGGTTCGAACCAGGCCAGGCCTGCTAAACAACAACTACAACAAAAAAACAGCTGGAGCTTGGAGCCTGTGGCTCAAGTGACTAAGGCGCCAGCCACATACACCTGAGCTGGCAGGTTTGAATCCAGCCCAGGCCTGCCAAACAACAATGATGGCTGCAACAAAAAAATAGCTGGGTATTGTGGTGGGTGCCTGTAAACCCAGCTACTTGGGAGGCAGAGGCAGGAGAATCACTTGAGCCCAGGAGTTGGAGGTTGCTGTGAGCTGTGATACCATAGCACTCTACCCAGGATGACAGCTTGAGGCTCTGTCTCAAATAAATAAATAAATAAATAAACAAACAGCCGGGCAGGTGCCTTTAGTCCCAGTTACTCGGGAGGCTAAGGCAAGAGAATCACTTAAGCCCAAGTTTGAGGCTGCTGTAGCAATGACACCACAGCACTCTATCGAAGGCAACATAGTGAGACTGTCTTAAAAAAAAAAAAAAAGGCTCGGAGCCTGTGGCTCAAGCGGCTAAGGC